CCCGCGGCGGGGGGCGCCTGTGGGCGGACCCCCCAGCCATGAGCAGGCACTGGGGCACCGTGCACAGAGCGGCTGGCCTGAGCAGTCTGGGTGCGCAGCTCAGAAGCAGCAGCAGGAGCCACGATTTTTTTTTTATTCAAAGAGCTGTGGGTTGGCCACTCCCGAAATAGCCTTTGAATTTTCCTTAAAGAAACACAGTGTAAACCAGGTACATGCTGATCCTTTTTTTTGCTCAGGAATTTAAATATGACATCTGTGTTGGCTGCCTTATGCATCCACAAAGACTTTTGTGTTTAAGGTGCTTCAGTCTCCACCCCCACCCCCGCTCTAACCCAATGCCCCCTCTCTCCCAGAGCCAGGTAACCCTAACCCAGTCCTTCCTCTCCCCCCCTTCCCTCCCCCCAGCTGTAACCTAATGCCTGGGTCCCGAAGCTGCCGCTGCCACGTGCTTCTCTCTCCAGGTGCAAGGATGCCATGTGCTTGGTGGCCGGCTGTGTGTAGGTGCTGGGACACTGTGCGCTGAGCAGCCGGCCGTGAGCAGTCCGGGCGTGTGTCTCAGAAGCAGCAGGAGCTGCATTTTTTTTTTTTAAATCAAAGATCCGCATGTGGCTCGAGAGCCGTGGGTTGGCCATCCCTGCCTTAGAGACTAACAAATATATAATAGTGAGCTTTCATGGGTAAGACCCACTTCATCAAATTAAGTATGGGGGTATATTTTAGTCTTGTTCTCGCTATTGTATATTGAATAGGACTTAATTTTAGCCATTTGTTCTGGGACCACCTTTTATGACATACTGCATTCTTTGACAACATACAGATTCTTTTTCTAGAGTGGTACACACACAGTTGTCCTATTTGAAATGGGAGAAAAAAAATCTTGTAGTATTTGTAGTACTGTAAGGAACTGTTAAGGAGAAAACTGAATACGTGGTAGTTGTATATTGAATAGGACTTAATTTTAGCCATTTGTTCTGGGACCACCTTTTATGACATACTGCATTCTTTGACAACATACAGATTCTTTTTCTAGAGTGGTACACACACAGTTGTCCTATTTGAAATGGGAGAAAAAAAATCTTGTAGTATTTGTAGTACTGTAAGGAACTGTTAAGGAGAAAACTGAATACGTGGTAGTCAGAGAAATAGGACCATGGCTAGTGAATCTGAAAACATGCTTACAACTTTAGGGGGTGGGTGGGTGGGTGGCTGCTGGTTTGGATGCTTGAAATTAAATGTTCTCCTTTATAGTCCTTTGTGGCGTCTGAACATCTAATAAATTACCCCTTAATTTTTGTTGATAATGCTGTTAAAGCAAATAATGATTAATATGAACCAAACTAGTCAGAGGTCTTTGTATCTGGCACTTTGGGAGAAGAGAAGGGCAAGGTTGAGAGAAAGGGAGACACCTTATTGCCAGATTCCTTGCCTTTATTTGTGGCTGTATGGATTTCCTGCCTTTGTTCTGACTATTAAAATAATTCATTCTTGACAAGAAAGAAGGACGAGAGGATGGTAGCGTGTTAAAAATCTTTGGTTTTCCATTTGCTGCATCTGCAAAGGTGCGAAGGAGGCAGGGAGAAGGGAGTGTAGTTCTGTTCAGAATGGTGTTACAACATTCCTAGAAAACACATTTTCAAATGAGGATCTTGTATGTTCACTTCATAGATTTTTTTTTTTTCTTTTACCCAAACTCACTGTTGATGCTACATTTCCCCCCAATGTGACTTTCCCTTATAAAATGACAGAAATCATATTTAACCTTTGTTTTGAGTGGCTGAAGGGGAGAATAATGGAAAGATAAGGAAATAAAGGTGGGAAACATGTACAGTTAAAAAAAACTCTTACTTCTAAATTGAACACGGAATATTTAAGCCTGATAGAAGACTGACTAACTCAAAAGTGAGGGATCAGCCACAGTTCTCATGATAAAACCATGGGGTTTCTTTTTCTAAGCTTTATTATTATTATTATTTTGTTATTATTATAATATATACTTCTGACAGTTGTCATAGAGCAAATTGCAGAGATTCTGAAGTAATCTTGATTTGATTGCTCTTCTTGCTGTTATATTTTCTAAAGCCTGTTCGTATAGCAATTATTTTGCAGACTTTTGCAGGATTTTTAATATGGGTGAACTCTCCATAATGTGGTACAATATGGTATTGATGCAGTGTAAATAAAAATGGACATGAGGGTCCTACTTCAGATTTTTTTTAAATGACTCAGAAGGTAGTTATAGTTGATAAAAACAAGTACATTGTGCATTAGATTCTGGGGGAGAACAGTCCTATAGTAGTATAACACATTTGTTAGCCATCTATAGTTTCTCCTTTTTTAAAAAAAATCGTATTCTCATACAACTGTACATATTTATTGTCTAATTGAGAACTTTAAAATTTGTCCAATAACCTCCGTATTCAGTTCGCCTGGTATAGCAGCACTTTGTTACTGAACCAGTTTCAGAAGTCTTTGTTCTCTAGTACCTTATTTACTTTTCAGAATTGCTGCAATTACTAGGTACTGTGGTACAAGTTAAAGAATGGAAAGATAGTGATATTTTCTTTCTCTCTTCTTATGCCTTGCCAGAGATAAACTTTTAGCATAGTTTAATATGCAGATACTTCTTTTACAAGGGGATATGTTAAAGGAAATTGAATCCTACTGAAGTTCACCTTATCCTGTATGAATCCTTCTCTTTTACAGCGGTGATGTGCTTGTGGTGAATTTTAATTTAAACAACAATATTGTGAAATGTTGTTGATTACAGGAACTGATGACATTGTAGGTCCTGAAGGCATGGAGAAATTTTGTGAAGACATCGGAGTTGAACCAGAAAATGTAAGTTTTTGCTTTTCCCAAAATACGTAAGTCACCAAAATAGATCACTAGCCTGTCTTGTATCTATCAATCTTTTATCATTCAAGTTTGACAATTTTTGAATTGGAAAATTGAAGAAACCATTGTTTAATGGAAAGGCATAAACCAGGCATAAACCAGACATGTTTTGTATTATTGCTTGCCACACCTGAAATTCATAGCAGAGATCTCAAAAGTTCAGAGTTTTTGTTTGGATAGGATTAAGCTGTTAAGGAATTAATCTGTTTTTTTTTTGTTTTTTGTTTTTTGTTTTTTTTTGTATCCATTGATATTCATTCTAAATAGTGCCATTTTTCACTCAGGCTTGGTCTACACTAGTAGTTTAGATCGTATTTAGTGGCATAAGGTTGATTTTTTTTTTCTAAACAATTCATCCCCACTACCAAGTCCATTCCATCGATGTTAAGGGCCACAAGTTGATTTCAGTATTCCTGCTTTTCACGAAAGTAATATGAAATTCAGCCTTGCATGATCCACTTTACCGTAGTGTTGCAGAAGTCAATGTTCTTGGCCTCTGGGAGGAATCCCACAGTGCCCCGCTATGTCTGCTCTGGCCAGGACTTGAGACTGTGCTGCTCTCCAGATGAACAGGAAAAGCCCTAGGAAATTTTGAATTTCATTTCCTGTGTGGACAGCTTTGTAAGCACACTTCAGAGCAGGCAGCGCACCTGACCAGGAGTTCCATGAGTTCAAGTTCCTTGGGCTCCAGTTTCTATGGGTGCAGACAAGCACCAGCATAAAGTGTGAAAGAGATCTTGGACCTCGTTGATGCGTGGGGAGAGGAATCTGTTCTCATGAAGCTCTGAACCAGCAAACGAAGCACAGATATCTGTGCAAAGATCGCAAAGTCCATGGTGCAGAAAGGATAGGCCAGGGATGCCCGGCAGTGCCATGTGAAAATAAAGGAGCTGAGGCAATCCTCCTAAAAGACAGAGGAGATAGACAGATGGTCTGGAGCATTGCCACAAACATGCTGCTTCTATGTGCAGCTGCATTTGTTCCTAGAGGGTAAGCTGACTGGCTTCTCCAGCCAGATCCCATGGGATCCTCCTAAGACACTCATCAGATCAGTAGCATGGAAGACAGCATGGAGGAGAAGAATGAGGAGACTGGTCAGCCAGTGAGCAGGGCAACCGATGTGGCCAAGAGCTTGTTATAACCTTAGAGACAATCCCCTACTCCCAGGACATCTTACAGTGAGGCACTGATCCTGGGGAGGGCACTTCTTATGAGTTGACTTTTTTTGGGGGGGGAGGGGGGACTACAAATGGGCTCATGAGCTCCTAAAGCAGTTAGGAAGAATGTGTGGTGTACTCTTTTGCCTACATAGTGCAGGGGGCCCAGAACAAATTGTTAACATGTCTGGAGATGGAGCAGGAATCCTCCCTTCACATCTCCATAAAGCACTCATAGAGGAACTCTTTAATCCTTCTCACAAGATTTCTGAGGAGGCCTGCCTTATTCCATCCTCTACACTAGAACGCTTTCCTATGCAAGTGTGACGGACTGGGCCGTGTCTGGGCACAGCTGAGGGCGTCCGCTCAGAGCGAATTGCTCAAATCCGGGGCTACTTACAGCCTCCGACTGGTGACCTCTCCACACAGGCCACAAACCAGTCCCACAGAGCGCTTCAGCAACCTGCCTGAAGCCTCCCGAGCAAAACCCCTCCGACACTCCAGCAATATCCGTGCCCCAGATGGCCCCGAGCCTATACACAGGTGGGGGGTCCTAGCACCCAATCCCACCTACCCCGAACCAGTTTCAGCAGCCTGCCTGAAGCCTCCCGAGCAAAACCCCTCCGACACCCCAGCAATATCCGTGCCCCAGATGGCCCCGGGCCTATACACAGGTGGGGGGTCCTAGCACCCAATCCCACCTACCCCGAACAAGTTCTGTCCGGTTCCAAGAAACCAGCCACAGATCCCTGGTCAATTTACCCTCTGGACCTTACCCACAAATCACGCTGGGCCAATCCTTTAGAATCTATATCTAAAGGTTTATTATTACAGGAAAGAAAAGCCTGAGAGTAAGGTTATTAAAGTACAGTACGTTACATGCACCGAATCTCCCAGTTCTCGATGCAGGCTCTAGCAGAGATGTTGCAGCTGCTGGTTTAAAAGTTCTTATTGCACATCCTACAATCAGGATAGGTTCATAGGTCTTCCGGGCTCTTCAATCCCTGCAGTGCTGCCTCTGGGATGAAGTGCTGAGCTGAGAACCAAATGGCATCGACCACATGGCCTCTTTATACTCCTTCCTGGCCTCTTCTAGTATGTAGCAGGTCACCTGGTCCTCAGCCTCTCTGTGTTCCCTGCTGGCTGCTCTCAGGACAGCCCCCATTCTTTGGGTGTGTCTTTGGCCCATTGAGAACCATTGTTCCACAGGTAATTAGCATGTCCACAGGCTCCACAGGCTCGGCCCTGCCCAATGCTTAACCACATGCAGGGAAATCTTCAGTTTCCACACAGATTACAGATCTACACACAGAGACATTATATACTCACATAAACAGTGTACACAGGATCAGAAAACAACAAGCTCCCATTCAATACCCCACATGGCTCCCTTTCATACAGATTTCTGGGGCCAACACCCCCTCCTAGGGGTGCAGCAGCGATCTGGCTGCTTCCCTCCAATTCGGTAATGTGACAGCAAGCCACCAGAAAATGGTCTGGCATCATTTCAGCATTAAGGACCAAGTTTCTGGCCACATTCAGTCAGCATCAGCTCCCTGTCACTCTGAGTGATTCAGAGAAGACTGATCTCGCAGGACAACTTGGATGAAGGGGAAGCTTTTAGCTGCTGCCTCTGCTACTAACTACCATTTGCTCATCCCCAGTGAAGCATGGCTTTAGCCACTGGGCTCTCCATCCCTTCCCTCCTAGTCTCCCACTCGCAGGCTCCTGTGGGAATGGAGAAGGTAGCACTCTCCCAACAAGCGGCTGTGCTGAATATGTAGGGGTAACACATGAGCTGTTGCCCTCCCCTTCCACCCACAGGATTGTGTCCTGGCAAGTTCCTTACCATGCTTGCCATCAGATCATGTGAGTCCAGCTGTTCCCCCTGCTGTAAAATGTCTGCTTTAAAGCATAACTTTGGCTTTGTACAGAACACATCTCCATTGTCTTTAGAAAGACCTTCAGTGTATGTGAACAGATGAGGATTTAGGTTCTGCGGTGCATCTTCTGTAATGTGTGTCCTTGTAACTTTTTGTTACTGCAGGACCAGCAGGCAGGTTGCTGTGCATTCCCTGGCTCCACCAGCTGTCTGCATCGCACAAATCCAAAGGCAAAAATGGACAAGGGAAACATGTTCAAGGAGCAAATGCAATCCACCCACTTGGACAGGGGACACACAATCAAGTGTAGAAATATGCTACTGGGGGCCTAAGGGATAGGGCGCTAGCCTGGGAAGGATAGGGTCATGGGTTCAATATGCAAGCAGCGCATCAGGAAAAGAGAGCATGTAGGGAACTGCAAATGAAGCTCCAGAATGTCGTCTTGTCCGTGATGTGTGATGGAGTGCATGGTAGGTTTCCCAGTCATGTACCTGGAGAGGCTCCGCCAACTCTTGTGGACCAGCTTTCTCTCCTTATCCAGTTTCATAGTCTCTTCTCCCAGGGTATGTCTACACTACAGCACTAATTCGAACTAACTTAATTCGAATTAGTTAATTGGAACCAAGCTAATTCGAATTAGTGCATCTAGACCTAAAAACTAATTCGAATTAGCGTTTTGCTAATTCGAAATAGCATGTCCACATTGAGTGGACCCTGAACCGAAGTTAAGGCTGGCCGGAACCAGTGCCGGAAGTGCATCAGGTTAGGACTTAGAGAGTGGAGCTGCTGCCTCAGGCTAGCTGAGGGCTGTGCTTAAGGAGACCTGACCCCCCCACCCTGGACAGACAATTCTCAGGGTTCCCCACTTGCTTGTCTACCTCTATGAGGAACAGCAAAGCAGTCCTGTCTTGGAGTGCCCTGAGTGCCTACGCTCGGCACATCACAGCACTCGGCCATCAGCCCGAGGGGGGGAAGGGAGGATCAATCGGTGGGGGCTGTCCGGATCCAGGAGGCCCTGCAAGAGAACTTCCACCCCAAGGAACCTGCAGAGCCACCCCAGTCCTCCCCATCGGAGGCTCGTGCCCCATTCCTCCCTCACCACCTTCCACTTACCCGTCCCTAGCCCCCCTTCCTGATGTAAAAAATAAAGGACACGTCTGTTCAAAAATAAACTCTCTTTATTTAACAAAACTTGGGGGGGGGGAATTAACCTCTGGCGAGACTGGGAAAAGGGGGGGGAAGAGGGAAAGGGAGAGGGTTGGA